CTCGCGGGCAGCACAGCGAGCACGCCTCCGCTCCATCGGAGGGGAACCTGCCGCTGCTGTCTGTGGAAAGCGTGGCCAGGGCCTGTAAGCTCTGCACCGCACTGTGTGCTTCCTTTTGGGGTCTGACAAGGCAGGGCAAAGGCAGAGGAGCTGCTCTGCACCCAGGGAGCTCTGCTCCCTCTGCGGAGAGGGTGGTCCTGACGGTGCTGGGGCACAGCAGCAGCAAACAGATGAAATGCCCAGACTGGCTGTGCTGGTGGGGCAGCTGGTGGCTGCAGGCACAGGCAGACAGACGGACAAGACCCTGCGGCTCCTTGGTGTTTCACGGGCCCGTTTTTTTGCAGCTCTTACGAAAGAGGTGATGCCCAGACAGATTTGGGTTCCCGCTGTGGGTTAGGAAGCTGACGTGGTGGACAGACTGACGGATGTGGGCTCAAGATCCCATTGCCAGTACCAGTGGGCTGCACAGCAGAAGGACAGACAGAAGCTGGGAGGGTACACAGCCAGCACAGGCTTCAGGCAGCAGATCCAGCGGGACAGACAGATGGCTGGTAGACCAGACATCCAGCCTGACTCAGGCAGGATAGAAAGACGGATGGACACAGGCTTGGTGGTGGGGAAATAGTTCAGACGGGATAGAGCAGGCAGCTGGGGACTTGGTCCTTTTGGACAGACAGACGAACACAGGCACAGCATTTTGGATGCCCAACATGTGGTTCAGGTCGCAGACGGACAGACGGACTTGAGCGCTTGGCTCCGGTGCCCAGCACATGCTCAGGTAGGAGATGTGGCAGACAGACAGACAGACGCAGGCTGGGCGGCTCAGACGTCCAGCACATGGTTCAGGTAGGAGATGTAGCAGATGGCTAGGCGGAGGATCTCGATCTTGGAGAGCTTCTTGTCTGGCGGCAGTGTGGGCAGCAGCTTCCGCAGCTCGGCGAAGGCCATGTTGAAGGCTTCGACGCGGATGCGCTCCCGCGTGGCGTGGGCTGTCCGGTATTTGGCTGTGGCACGGCGCCGGCGCCGACGCTCCTCCCGACTCAGATGCTGCAGGTCTTTCTTCACGGCCTCGCCCGGCTCGGCTATCCGGGACTGAGCGCACAAGCCAACACCACCGGCGTCCTCCGTGCTGCCGGCGCGGCCACCGCCGCAGTCACTGAAGACAGACTCAGACTCGGAGTGTGTGGGGGGCAGGTCGATCTCCGTCTGGTCTGAATTGAGCATCATCTTTACGGAGGAGGGGTGGACAGAGATGGGTGCTTCAGAGATGTGGTACGTCAGGAGGACAGAGCGACCCGGGCAGGATGTGGAAGCAGAACTGCTCTACTTTAATGAGAGGGTCTCCAGATCACAGCAAGCCCCTGGTTATTCTCCTCCTCTTCCTCCTCATCACACAGTCTCCACAAGGGAATTTCAAAATTTTCCCTTTTCCCTGGAGAACTCGTTGGGTGGGCAACAGCTTTCACAGTAAATAAGAAAGATGGCAGGATGCATATAAAATCAATCAATCAGTCAGTCAATCAATCAATCTCTCTCCTCTGCAGGCGCGTGCACAGCGATCATG